TAGTAGTAGTAGTTAGGGTTAGTTAGTTATTAATATATATATATATATATATATATATATATATGTTTTTTTTTTTGCTTTACTTATCAAGATCGCCGCTCCCCCAACCATCGAGACTTCGCCAATAGCGATGCTGGGCTGGAGAATCCAATCCGTGAACCATTTCCCTCGCGTGGGAACGGAGCTGCATGCTTCGAGGCTTGTACTGTACAGGCTGGTTGGTGGTGGTGCGTAGCTGGGACTTCCGATTGGCATATTGGCATGTGTGCCAGGCCTGAACGCAACATCCCTTGCTGATGGTGCATGTCGGTAGGGAGAGTGTGAGTGAGTTCGGTGGAATAAGTACCGGTAGCACAATCAATGTGGGGAAATGTAACAAGGAAAAACACATGCAAGGAATGATATGGTGAAGAGAAGATATGATCGATGGAACATGTCTGTTGGGTATCAAGTAGATCTCTGGATTATGCAGGGCAGCTTCAAGAGCTCGCAGGCTTGGTGACGCCCCGACCTTTGTTGATCTGCAGCATCTTGTCTTCGCCTCCACTGACAATACCGACATTCTCGTCCCAACAAACACCGAACACCTTGATCCCATCTCCACCAACAGGTCTCTTGCCATCTTTCTGACTTTCTCTCTCCACAACGTACACCGTCTCGCCAACCCGGCCACCACCTTCGTCTTTGGTACCCGGCCGCGAACTTCTCAAGTCCCAGACTCGACAGGTGCCATCATGACTTCCGCTGACAATTCCATATCTGCTTTCGGGATCTTTGGCCAGAGAGACAATCTTGTTCGTGTGCCCGCGAAGGGTCATGACCTGGTTCGTTTGGGAGGATGCTCGGGGATCGATAAGAGTGATGTGGCGCGCGCTAGTTCCTACGGCTAACAGCTGATGGCTGATACCTGGTAGTGCGGTAAGAGAAAGCAGAGGGTGAGACGTCGTCCTGGTATCTACGACAGTCGATGTTGTCAGATCGATAGTTCGCATCGTGTGGTCTTGGGAGGCGGAGTAGCCGACCGTGTGGTCGTCAGGGTTGAAGATTACAGCATTTACTGAGGCCCCATGACGAGCATGCAGAGACAGAGGCCCACGCTGAGGTGTAGATGTGGATGTGGTGAGCTTTCTACGCTTAGCGGTAGGTCCAGAGGTAATCAGGGAAGAGGCTGCTTCGGGCGCAGAATCCTTGAGCGTCGTCCAGAGCCCAACATGGCCGTCGGTAGATCCAGAGAGGACTTGATTTGACGGTCCCCATACATCGATCGATTCGATAGCCCCCTTGTGCCCGTAAAGCTCCAATACCGGCTTCAGGGTCGCAGAGAATTGGTCTTCAGCCTCCTTGTACTTCCATATCCTGATGGTGCGATCCAGCCCAGCGGACGCAATTTGCGTAGGCGAGATGAACTTTGCGCTTTTGATGCTGGATGAATGCCCTCCTTCGCTCGAAGAGGCTGACGTAGCAATCGTCTGTCCAGACTTATTCCAAACTCGCAGCAACCCATCGTATGACCCGGACAGTATGCGCTCATGTCCTACTGCCACATCATATCCCTTCCCGGATCCAGCTCTCGATGTCGCAGACAAGACGTCCACGCAGCTGACCCAGTCATCGTGCTCAAAGCTCGCTTCGTACAATGGCGGGATCAAACTCCGAACATATTGCAGGTCCAAGGTCGTTTCGGAGGAGAGGCCGTTCGCTGTGAGGTATTCTTCGAGAGTCGTGCGGAGAAAGTTTCCATTGATCAGAAAATCAAAAGGAATTGGCGCCTCGGTATTAAGCATAGACTCGGAGTTGAGGATCTGTGACAACCCATATCTCCGTACATCTTCACAGAATTATTAGCCAGGCGCATTTTTTTATTCGAAGTTCCGCTCACTTGTCGGCACCAGGAGCTGCGTCTTCCCTTCCTCGAGCTCGATCGTGGGGTCTTCGGAGTTTGTGACAAAGTGAACCTGGACTTGTCCATTCTGCTTCGAGTCCGTGACCGCATCTGCCATAAGAGTGTCCATCTTGACGCCGTGATTGAGATTGAATCGACGTCGCTGTGCGGCTGTCTTGGAGGGCTGGTGTTGGAGAAAATAAAAATTTACGGACACCCCAAGCTACCACTTGTGAAGATCACGTGAACCGAATCATGTCTTGAAAGCCTTCGACTTCATCTCAAGCCCGACTGTCAGCAATGCCACCATCGAGCGTCTATCTGGTGCCTCCACAAGTCTCTTGCTAAGAAATTTTCCCTTGTACACACGAAGCTTGAGGTGGAGAAAGGGCCCGAAAAGTTGCAAGTTCAAGTTCAACTATTATGTCACGTTCAGAAGTTGAAAAAGGAACAAAGGGGTTGGGAATATATTTGAATCCTATCTGGTATACTGCCATCAATCCCAGCATCGGCAGGTCTGCTCCCAGCAGTCTCTCTCACATCTTCTTAGGCACTGTCTGCGATGACCGGACTTTCTGGAATAGCAGGATCTTGCTTCCGGTCGACAGCCTTGCGAAATTCCGACTTTGTCTTGAGAAAGCCCGCAAAGCTCCTCAGATACTGCTTCATCTTATTCGTCAGCGCGCTGGGGAATGTTCTCTCGATGCCTCCTTTCTTGTCTCGGCTGAGCAGCCAGCGATAGTGCATCTTCGTAGCTTGCCAGAACTCCTCGTCCGTCATGGCCTGCACAGCTGTGATGTGCTTAACGTCGATCTTGAAACTCTTGCATCTCTCCGTGTCTTGGGCAAGGGCCCGAAGATAGATGGCAATGCCGGTCATGTGCTTCTTGACATGGTACTTGCCTGCCTTCGCAAGGGGAGGGTAGTAGAACATTTCGGGGCCCAGGATCTGGCTGTCCGCTTGCCGCGCGAACTTTTCCATCGTGGCTGAGTGCTTGAGGAGCTTGTGGTAGGAGACTTGGACGAACTCGGGCTGGCCGGACTCTTTCAGGGACTTTGTGAGGTCTTCGGGGCCTTGCATCACGAGGATCTTGATGCGCTTTTCATGGACATATCTGGGAGGGTTACATGTGAACTGAATGTTCTGCAAGGCACGCTGGTGCTATCAACAAGAAAAGAAAAAGGGAGGGGGTGCTCACTGGCCACCTCGCTGCCCTTCTGCGGTTTCTTTCTTGCGCTGCGGGTTCGCGCCCAATGGCTGATTCACAGTCTCAACTTTGGGGAGACCATCTGCAGTGGTGCCGGGTACTTCTGGAACGATGCCGTGAGAATCAAGAAACTCGCGGGCTCTGTCGCAGAGAACTCTGAGGCTCGAAGGATAGAAGTTTTCTTCTCTGCCCAGCCTCTGGATCTGGCCGTGGAGAGCCCGGAGCTCTTTAAGAGGCCTTTGTCCTCATCTGTTGGAGCCATCGTGAATGGTCGGGTTGCTAGCAGCGTGTTGATCAGCAGTTGAATTTCGACTGCCCCCGAGAAGGTGATTTGGCGCGAGGAGAGATTTCGATACGTACCCATTTGAAGTGGTGATGTGATGTTTTGAGAGAAAGGATTCGAGGCGCAAAGAGTAGGTAGCTATACATCGTGAGGTGAGGTGTGGAGCTAGGAAGAGAGGCTAGACTGATTTTCCACTTCGACATTGGGAATTCAGAAAGAAAAACGTACCACGAGTTCAGCTTTGGTGAAGCAGTGCAGCAGTGCAATCGAGAACATTGTATAGACCGCGGGCCGAGATGCAAAAAGATATCGCGGAAAAAAAAAACATCAAAATTCAAACACCTAGACCGCACACCTAGACTGCAGGCCGAGATACAGAAAGATATCGCGGGAAAAAAAGAGGAAAAAAAATCACCTCAAATTCTAGAAAAGCGAAACTGTTGGTGAGTATAGAAGCACGGTTACCACTGATAGCTGTTAGAGATTACGGATTTTCGCCACACTAGATGGGTATTGGTCTACTGTAACTGCGTTTGCCGCACCAGACGGGTAGTGACACCATCAGGGAGGTCTGCTTCTATTTGATGTAGTCTGCCGTGGTAAATAGATATATACAGGTACAAAAAATCTCGCCGGCCGGCCAGACGTCGGCGGATTGGGTCAGCTGATGAGGGCGATTCACGGGTTAGGAAGGACCGTAGAGGCTTACTACAACGGTTCCAATTGTGCACATATCAAGAACCGAGTGGTTTATTACTCACTCATTATAACAGAACCGTAGGACTTCCAGCTCCCAGACCACTATTTGGAAGAGGAATACTGATAGATTATCACAGTGGGCGAGACCATCGAAGTAGGTAAGGTAGTCTTTGACCACCTTACCAAGATCACCCGGCGGCGCACCCGGCCGAGAAACCCGGCGTCAGACTACACGCTTTCGACGGCGTCGAAGAGCCCTCCTCCATCATCCTCACCCACAACGACGACCTCAACCCGGGCCCTGTATCGCCCTCTGGGAGCTCCTCGGTAACGCCCTTCAGAGTCCTTCCTCGCTGGAACGGTTCGTGCCGTCTACGGGAAAGAGAGATCATCACCACCCCGGGGGATCATGACGGGGGACACCGAACCGACAATCACTTCTTCTGGGATCTGGCCACTCACATTTTCCGCTTCAGGCCGGGTTACGACCCGGCGGCGGATGAGCAGGGCCTGGGACCGATCCATACGGTTGATGAGAGGGGGTCGGTGGTTAAGCATATTAACGCTGTCAATTCATGGGTTTACGCTGTTTATTCGCAACCTGGGTAAGGCTGATTTTCAGGCTGATTTGTAGGACGATTTTGCGGGTGCCTCGAGGTCGAGGGCCGAGGTTCGAGGTTAGTTGTCTAATGATGCCAGGTGGTTGGTATCAGAACGATCATTTGGCATCCTGCAATGTGACTTGCTGCTGTAGTCAGTAGCATATCTGTATATCTTCCCAGCGCGATTTTCTTTCGCGTTTGATTATCACGCGTATCAGCATACACATACATACATGCATACTATTGAACGGTAACACGAGGAAGAAGATAAGTAAAAAGATTCTTGATTGCTTGTCTGATGAACTTAAGGAGTAGCCCTTTACTTATACATCTAGAAAGGTCTTAACACGTAATAAGTCTATCACTTAATCATATCCGACACTCTTACTTAAGACTTATTCAAATGAAAAAGACTCTTATTGAAGTTTATAAATAAAGCTCTTACTGAAAGTAGATCCGAAAAGAAAAAAACAAGAGAGAACATAAGAGTATTTTATAAAGAAAAACAGCAAAGGCCGAAAAACTTGATTATAAAGAAAAAAAAAAAACCAAAAGACTAATTTAATTGTTCGCTTGTTTTTTTAAAAAAGGAAGATCATCTTAATCTTTAGTTTTCGTCTTTTCACTTAACTGCACTTAAAAAAGCTTTCTCTCTTTAAGTGAGTTATCCTCTTCTTTTGCTAACTAATCCGAAAAGTGATTAGCAGCATTATTAGCTAATAGAAAAGAGTGCTGCGTAATGCTTGTCGAATTTTTAGCGTTCTTTATTCGAGAAATAAAAGATCTGCGTAATAAAGCTTAAGAAGATCGAGTCTTAACTTCCGATAAAGATTCTTAACGTAAAATTAAAGCAGCTTTTATTTATATTTTCCGTCTTAAGTTAAACCAATTGATTTTCTTTGCTCTTTTTTATTTAAGCTCGTTTTCCGATAATAGCTAGTTTTTCTAATTCTTATTGCTTAACGTATTACATAGCTAAGTAGCGGTGTAAATCACGTATTAATTGTTTAGATTGCTATTAATTAAGCCGAAAATCTAAAAGTCTTTTTTATTAAAGCTCTTTTATTAATTAAAATATATTTTAATAAATTCTTTTTATAAAAAGAAAAGCGCGGACTTATAAACTTCGTTAAAATCGGTATTAAAGTAATTGCAATTATAAATCGCAAGATTAAACTTCTTGCCGTTTTTTTATTATTAAGCTGCTTAAGCGTAATCGTTCGGCTATAAGCCTTTCCTTTTCGGCTAGTTATTAACTTATCTTTCTGTTTTTATAATAAACTAATCGAAACGAAAAGTAGCCGGTTTATTATTACGTTTCGTAAGCAATTTAACGAATTAAGAAAAAGTATAGTTATCTTTAATCTTAATATAATTATTAGCTTGCTCTTTGCAATCGATATAAAAGAATAGTCGAAAAAAAAGAATCTAATATAAAATGTTAGTTTTATTTATTAAGTAATATAATTAATAATACTCGAAATTTATCGTTAATAAAATTAAATAACCCGTTATCTCGTCGGTAATAGCATTTAATTATAATTCTTTTAAGTCCGAGATCATCTGTTAATCTAACTTAATAGCGTTGCCGACTTCGTCGGTATCGATAAAAAAGCTTTATAAAAAAAGATCGCAAAGTAAAAACCAAAGTCTTCGTTTTCTTTATTATAAATTATGTTTTCGAAAACAAGCGTCTTTTCGAGCTTCTTTAACGAGTGCTAAGCTATTAGCTTTAATGATTTTCGTACGAGCTTTAATGCGAGTGCGAAGCTTTTTATCGGTTTTGATTTCGAAAAAAAAAAATCATCGCGATCGGATTTAAAAAAGTTTAAGTCGCTAAAACGTGCAATTCGTTTAGCGATCTTTTTTGTTCGAAGCATAATTTAAAAAAAGTAAAATGATAAAGTATATAATTAAAAAGAGAAATAGATTATAATTAATCTTTTATATCTTATCGGTCGTAAAGATCTTAAAAGAAAAAAGATTTTATAAGTTTATAAGAATATTAGTTTAGATTTGCGCCGCTACGATTAAATCTTTTAAAACTTTAATAATTAAATAAAGTAATTAAAAAGAATCGATCTTTATCGTTTAAAACTACTTTTAATCAAAAAAAGCTAAGTTAAATAAGTCGGTAATAAAAGTGCTTTGATCACGTAATATTAAACTTTTAACATTCTAATCGCTTTTTTAAATTCTTTAAACTATCGCTTAGCTAATAGCTTAATTAAACCGTCGGCGACTTGATTTGCAATAACGACTTATTTTAAATTTATTAAGTTATCTCGTATAGCTTTTTAAATAAACATATAACGAAAGTAAATATGCTTAGTTCGATAATAAAATTAAATGTTTTTAATTAATGCGATCGCTTTTTAATTATCGCAATAGATTAAGATTAAAACTGTTTTTTCTTACGAAAGTATTTCGATTAAAAAGCGTTAAAGCTAAATTGCTTTTTTAACGGCTTTCGTTTCGGTTATTAATTCGGATTCGCACGAAGATAATGTGACGACCTTAAGCGATTACCTAAAGGAACTCACGGGAGCGCGGGGGTTCACATAAGAGCTTAAGAGAATCTCAAAGTAATAACTTAGAATCAACAACTACCGAGTGTAAAAGTCGAAAGTAGCTGAGGTTTATATATACGAAAGTAGAAGCGCTAAAGACTCGTGAACTATGGTTCATAAGTCAAAAAGCGAAGAATAAAAGAATACGAAAAATACGAAGGAAAAAAAGAAAGAAGTAACTTAGCGCATATAAAGTGGGTCTAAGAGACCTAGCGTGTCGTCATATTACCTTCCCGTTCGAAAAAAGCTCGTCTTCGAGCGTCTATCTATTGCTTTATCACTGCTTAAGTGATCGTAGTTATCAATACTATTCGAATAAGCTTTGATCTACTCGAAGAGCTTCGCGGGAAGGCCGAAGAGCTCTTTATGTTTTAAATAAAAGTCACGTACTTTAAAAAGAGCGTACATAAAGTCGGAAGCGGGGTATTAAGTAAGGTTAATATCGCGGCTAAGTTAAAAAGCGCGGTATTTAAAGTGCTTTTTAGTTTAGCGTACCGCTAAAATGTTTTCTACTTCGTACTTAAGTTCGCTAATGATATTAATCGAGTCAAGTTTAAGAATGATTTGCTTGAAAGTAGAGTTATTAAGAGCTTTTCGTAGTCGTCCGGAGTAAAAGATTAAGTAAATCTTTATTGATTCGAAAAGCTTGAGTTTAAAGCTGTTGTAAACGTTATCGATAACTTCGAACGGTCTGTTCGTCGGATTATCGAGCTTCTTTAACGGTCGAGAAGTAAGGAACGAGCGCATATTTAACTAAACCTTATCATTGACGTCGAAGTCAACCGAGCGTCTTAATTTATTAGTTTGTTTAGCTATGCGGTCTTAAGCGCGCTAAAGGTACTCTTTAGCGAAGTTCCAAGCTCTGAAGTAGCGGTTAGCGTAAGCGCGAGCTTCGTCTTAGTTGAGCTTGCGAAAAAGGGTTTAGTCGTTAAGTCGTTTTAAGCTTTAATTCCAAGTGGTTCGAAAAGCGTAGCCGTAAATTACTTTAAAAAAAGAAAGACCGCCGAAAGAGTCGTAAAAGAGCGTTAATTAAGCGAAGTCTATTATAAGAAAGAACTCACTTTAATCGTCTTAATAGTAGCTTACGAAAAGACGGAAGCGCTTTTATAAGTACTAGTTGTAAATTTCGGTCTAACCGTTAATCTCGAGGTGTGCGGCGGTATTAAAAGTTAGTTTAATACCGAAGATCTTGTTGAATTCTTTCTAGAATTCGGACTAGTATTAAAGTCTTCTATTAAAAGTTAATGTTAAAAGAGCTTTAAAATACTTATAAATATAATAGATATAAAGCTTAGCGAAGCTTTTAGCGTCGATAGACTTGTGATAAAGGATCGAGATTGCTTGCTTAAAAAAGCGGTCGATTATTACAAAGACGTTATCGTAGCCGTGCTTGTCTTTATTAAAGCTATAAAAATCTATAATAACGTGCTCTTAAAAGCGCGAAAAGATCGAAAGAGGTTAGAGCAAACTAGGTTTTTTATCGCGAAGCATTAAAGCTCGTTTATAAGCGTAGCAGTTGCAGCAGTACTAGTTGACGAATCTAGCTATACCGTGCTAATAATACTATATTGCAAAGAGCTTATAAGTTTTGCAAGAGCTAAAGTATGTCGTAAATACTTAGTCGTAGACTTCTCGGACGAATAACGAGCGCAAGTTTTAAACGTCGAGAACTAATAAGCGGCCGTTATAAAGCAGCAGGTCGCTTTTTATAATAAGTTTAGCTCGTGAACCGTAATTTACGAGTAAGGACTCAGCTTTAAAAGCTTGAACTCGAAGTGCTGTAAAGCTAAAAGCGGTCCGATTAGCTTTTAAAACTTAATTAATAACTCGGAATGTCGATAAGAAGTCCGCGATTTCTTCGATAATAACGGCGGTCTTCGAAAGCGTAAGTTAGCGTAGCTTTTCGGTTAAGAGTCGTAAGTCAACGTTGTCGGCGCGAAGCAGCGTTTGCAAGCGTTAAGTGCGCTTAAAGCTATTTTAAAAAAAGAGCTCTTCGGTGCGACGTGTTAGCGCGTCAGCTAGCGGGTTGTCTTTACTTAGTTTGTACGTAATGATAAAGTTGTAGTCGAAAAAGAGCTTTGCTTAGCGTGCTTGACGAGCGTTAAAGGTTTTAAAGGTCATAAAGTACTTTAAAGCCTTATAGTTAGTGATTACTTAAACTTAATAAAAAGAGCCGGCGAGTTCGGCGCGGAAGTTATTAAAAGAGCGTATGATAGCTAGCATCTCTTTATCGTAAACGACGTAATTGAGCTTAGCGGGAGCTATAATTTTAAAGTAGTAAGCGACTAATAGCTAATCGGAACTATGCTTTTAAGAAAAGACTAAAGCGATTACGCCGTTTAAAGCGTTAGTCTTTAGTATACAAAAGAAGTCTTGGTTGTAATGCTATAAGATTAGCGAAGTAGTTAAAGCGAGCTTTAAGAGGTCGAAGCTTCTTTAATACTAAGAATTAAATGAAAAAAAAACGTTAACTTTAGTCAAGTATATTAAAAGCTTCGCGATTACGCCGTAGTCTCGAATGAAACGGCGGTAGAAGTTATAAAATCTAAAGAAGCTTTAGACGCTTTTAACGGTTGTAAAAAGCGCTTAATGCTTTACTATCGACGTCTTGTCCGGATCTACCTTTAAGCCTTCGATAGAAATAATAAAGCTTAAGTATTTTACTTTAATAATGCTGAATTCGCATTTTTTAATATTAGTCTAAAAGCTAGCGTCGTCGAGTCGTTAAAGAACTTAGCGGACGTAGTAAGCGTGCTTTAAAAGGTCGGAAGAGTAGATTAAGATGTCGTTTAAATATGCCGTGCAAAAGATATTTAAGAAGTCGAAAAAAAGGTTATTTATATAGCGTTAGTAAATAGCGGGTCTATTGGTTAGTCCGAATAAGAAGACCTTGCACTTGTAAGCACCGTAGCGTATTTTGAATATTATAAGCTCTTTTGAAGCTGGGTTTATTCGTATTTTATAAAAAGCTTGCTAAATGTCGAGTTTCGTAAAGATTTTAGCTTTTAAGAGACGTGCGAAGGTCTTATCGATCAAAAAGAAAGAGTATCGATCTTTACGAGTGAGGTTGTTTAGCGCGCGGAAGTCAATACAAAAGCGAAGGGAACCGTCTTGCTTTTTAGCAAATAAGACTGGAGCTGTAAATAACGCTATTAAAAGTTCGATAAAACCTTTGTTAAGATTGTCGATAAAATAAGCTTTAATAAGCTTTAGCTTAAAGATCGACATCTTGTATAATAGTGAATATCGAAGCGCTTTTTCTTTTCTTTCGAAAAGCTCGATTTTGTAATCGTAAAGCTTGTATAATGCTAGCACGTTGCTAGCGGCTTTAAAGAACACGTATGTATAATCGAAGTATTCGAAAGGGATAAAAGGATCGTTAATGAGCTCTAATAGTTTTGCTACGAAGTCGATAGCAGAGATAGAGCCGTTGATAAAGCGTATTAGCGTTGCTTAATAGTTAGCTTAAGTAAAAGCAATCGTTTAACGCTCGGAGATCAAGCAATCGAGCTTGTAAAAAAACGTAAAGAACAGTTTTACGTCTTTTTATCGAGCAATCATATAAAAAGCGTGTTCGGAAACGCCGTTGATTTTAAAGTTTCTATTGATTTTGTGCTTAAATGTTTAGCGAAAGCGTTTAACGAGTAAAAAAAGTTTTACGGAAGCGATGTCGGTTGACATAAGCTTACAGTTTATTTAAAATATTAATTTAACGTAGTCTTTAAAAAAAGTAGTTTTCGTAAAGCGAAAGAATGACGGCTTTAAGAGAAGGTGAATAAAAGAAGAGGGTTTAACAATCTTGAAAAAGGAAGCGGAAAAAAGACGATTTCGAAGAAAAAGAAGACGATTTTAAAAAGAAAGAAGTGATTTAGCGACTATTGTTGCTGCTTGATCCGCTCGTAAACTATAGTTCACGAGTAAATTAGCGTCGTAAGCTTTTTAAAAGCGGTCTAAAGCTCGATCACGTTTATTAGCGTCGTACTAATAACGAGCGTTTACTTTACGCTAATTAAAGTGTGTAATCTTAATAAGTTTAGCGTAAGTAGCGGTCGAAAGGTTAAAGCGAAGCTAATAAAGCTTGCGGCGAGCGTAATCAAAGAGAATCTAGTGCTTAGCTAGTTATGTTCGTCCGAAGATCACGCTATGATTTCTAAAGTTAATAATAAGAAAAAGAGTAAAGGATTAGACGCGCTTATCGACCGTAAGGTTAAGAAGTGCAAAATATAAGATAATAGCTTTACGAGCTTTATTATATGATTTAATAAGAAATAAGGCCGAAAAGGGTTAAATTAAAAGTTTAAAAAAAAAAGAAAGTAATTTAAGTAGCGTTAAGTCAATCAGCGCGTACCTATTAGCTTTTAAGTCGAGCAAAGCAGATACTTTGTACGAAAGGCTATTCTTAATAAAGGTGACGGGTATAGTCATAGCTTTACTATTAAAAAGCTTCGTAAAGTCGAAGTATCGCATGTCTCGAAGCTAGCTTAAGAAAAAGGCTTTGCTTAAGCTTCGACGTTTCCTTTATTAAGAGCGTCGGAGTCAACAAGAAAGAGCTCTTAGTGATCTTTAAGAGCATCGGAGTAAGGCTTATCGTCCGAGTCATTCGAATAAAAGCCGTATTTAAGTTTAACGCCGTGTTTTATTTCGTTGACTAAGTAGTGGCGAAAAAGCTTCGGCGTATTCGGGTCCTTGCGGGACGATCTAAAGGTTTTGATCGCTGACTTAAAAGCGTTTTCGAAAGAAGAGAATTTATTAGATCGATTGAATCGATTTGTACTAGCGCTAGAGCTGTTAAAAGTTTAGCGCTGAAAGGTAAGAAAAGAAACGAAAGTTAAGCTACTTTAGCGGTTTTCGTAATAAGTGACTTGCTTAACCGCTGCTCTTTAAGCCGAGCGGGATTCGGTACTGTGGAGGGGAAGAGCTCCGACATATACCCAACGTCAAATCAAAAGATATATATAAATATAGCCATAGTAGAATCGTAGGTGAATAAAAGAGGAAAAGGAAGACGATCGAAGGACACTCGAATGTGTGCTATAAGTACGTGTATTGTATTGTATAGTGATATGATAGTGCTGGTTCAAAAAGGAACCAACTACTCGTCTATATAAGAGCCTACACGTAACCTAACCACGTGCCTAGCAAGGCCAAAGCATGCAGCGCACCCACGTAACAAAGGTGCCTAGCATCAGTATTATATACATAGACAAAACAAATACAGAGCCCCAACTCCACCACATACGTCCCCCTTTCGAATCAAACTCGCCCTCGAGTCACCTCTTATCAAAGTAGTAAGGTTAGGTTTGCAAGACGAGCATATAGCCGAATTGCACGATCGCAATATGGTCCTAAAGTACTACTTAATAATGCATCGCCGGATCGGTGTTAGTACGAGGCGTATATAATATAACAAAAAAGATAAAAATAGCAACGAAAATGCAAGATAATCCTTCGGGTTTAACTCCTCCTTATATCCTTTGTAGCTCACTTATTTAACTATAAGAACAATATCAACCCGAGCGTTAGTATTGTCGTCAAGATAAGCGTGCGCCGGTTTAAGCGGTCAAGTGGTGACGCATTGCCGAATCGGTAATAGCGCGAGGCTTAAAGCGGTAACGTAATAAAGAAAACAAAAGCGATAGTATACACTCGAAGTCTTGCTATAAACAGTCAACCCTCTTCTTATATCAACCTCACACCTTTCTATCTTCCCTTTAGCATCACCACTTACCAACCTCATCTTCATTATCATATTGTCGATCTGCTTTCGATGCGTAAGCCACGCAAGCAAAACCATCGATAATGCTGCGAGTCGGTGCATCTTCTCCGCCGACAAATCTATCAAATGCGAGCGTTACCGTGCTATTAAGTCAACTTGCATCCTCGTAAATTATTCTACCTTCCGTCTTACACTCGTTCTGACTCCGATTCGATAGCTCTTCGTAGAAGTCGTTAATGCCGGCATAGTCTTGATAGATGCGATGACGGCTATAGATAATAGAACTAGGACGGCCGACGACGTTTTTCGTAAGGGCACGGTTGCAAATAACCTCCTCATAAAGACCCGCCGTGCTCTTGCCTTCTGTATTGGCGATGCTTCCTCTTTTCTTCGAGCCCGTATCGCCGCTGCTTCTTTTGCCGCCGCTAATGCTAAAGGTCCCTTAGCTAGTTTAAGTCTCGTCCCGGCGTTACGCTTACTTGCCGCCGCTGCCACCGCCGATCTAGCTTCGCTAGACTTGCTGCGTCAGATCTTGGCTGCAATGGATCGAAACAATACTTTATTAAGTAACTTTCTTAACCGCGTGAGTATATGTTGCGAACCCTTTGTGATTCTTTTCCGATCTGATTACGATAGATTGCCGAAAAATCCCCGTCCTTTTCATCTTTATCTTCGAAATCGCTAACACTTCTTACCGCAAAGAGGCTCCGCCGAAGTGCTCGCCAAGCTTCCAATCGCGGCAATACCGGTAGTTCTTCTTCGCGAGGTTTTAGCCGTAGCAATACTCGTGGTTCTACGAAAGGTTCGAATCGTGGCAACATCGGTAGGACCTCGAAAGGTAAGAGCAGTGCCTAAGGTGCTGCGGGAGGCTCTCGCACTATTCCACTTAGCTTTGAGTTGTGAAGTCGGAAAGGTTTTTATCGCGGGTCGGCAGCTTGCCAAGTAATTAATGTAATAGATTTTTCGTATGCTCTTCTTGATTAGCCTCCGAATAAAGTCCGCTTTATGTATATGACATGCTCGTATATAATAAGTCGAAGGTATATAAGTGTGATGACGTAAGGCTCTTTAATATAAAAAAGGAAATAAAGAAAGTATAAGAGGAAGGAAAACAAGGAAAACCAAACTTAAACAAAGAAAAAATCAAAAAATCAAATCTAAACTCGTCTTTCCCTTACGTATAATCATACCTTTATAACTTAATCACTTTCTATTGCCTTTTCATCACTGCTTATAAAGACTCTTGCGTATTAGCTCCGTTGCTCCTCCGTAAGGCCAGGTAATCGAATAACAAATCCATTTGAGCGCTTGATTTAGAGGCCGGACTCGGCCACTTCATTTAATGAAAGCTGTTCTAAGAATCTCTTTATCTAAGGCTTAAAGCGAAGTAGTAACGCTTCGGGGGTATATCGCACGTAGAACTTCTTTAATCGACTGCCAGCAAATGTTCTATCTAGCAAGGCCCCGTCCTCTCTTAGCTCTTTCAACTTATAATATCCCTTTGTATTTACCGACGAAATTTAATAAAGGCTAAGCCATCGAAAATCCAGTTTCTTAACGTTAGACATATCCACCTTACGTATCGAATCGTGCTTAAAGACCAAATCACCTACTTTCAAGGGTCTGATTCGAAGGTTCTTCTTACTATCAAAAGCATCTTTTCCCTTTTAGCGGCAGCGGGTTTTCTTAAGTGTGGCCTCCGTAACGTCCTCGTTTCGCATCTAAAACTAGCGTGCCCTTAATTCGATAAGCTTAACACGATTAGTTACTAGCTCTTGAAATAACGTAACCTAAGACTAGATTCGGGTCTCAATCGAAAGCATTGCTTCTTTGCCGTATACTATGTAAAAAAGAGTAAATCCGATAAGAGTATGCACCGAAGTGCGGTCGGCGAATAAAACGGCTAGCAATTGCGCAATCCAGTCGGTGCTTCCAAGCTTACTTAATGCGTCCTTAATTAATCCGTAGCCGCGTTCCACCATTCCATTCGCTTAAAAGTAGTATGCTAAGACCACGACTCGATTGATTTCCTAATTATTAAGTAGGTCGATTACCTCTTTTTTAAACTCCGAACCTCCGTCGACTATCAGCTAAAAGAAAATCTTATAGCGGCAAATGATATCTTCTTAGATAAACTTAACTACCGAAAGCGAATCTCGGGTCCGAATCGCCCTCGCTTCGACCTATCCATTCATATCGTCCTTAGCAACAACTAAGTAGCTCTTGCTATTGCGTGCAAATAGATAAGTGATATCGATAGCCCAACGTTCTATTAAGCTATTAAATCGGGTAAAATGCAATAGCTCTTCGAGCCTATTAGCTATTCGGTGCTAGCATTCTTTACAAGTCTTGACGAATCGTTTGACGTCCGTATAGCATCCATTTTAAAAGTAGCGCTAAGATACACGGTGATAAGTTGATTCACGGCTCTTATAACTACTCTTATCGTGACAAGCCGTAATAATGTCCGTCTTAATCGAGGGCTTGTCGACCATTAATCGAAAGAGAAGACCTTTCGTCGAGAGTCTTTAAAGTTTCCTATCGTTCACCCCGTATTTAATAGCCTCCTTTTTAAACTTACGGCATTCCACCTTATTCAAGTCCTTAAGTCTTCGCAAGGTCGTCAAAAAAGTAGCTATCCGAATTGATTCCGAAGAGTATTCGATTAAGTTTAAAAGACCTTCGTAATCGTAGTCGTTATTAAACTCGTTTAAGTTTGCATTCTCCGCTTCTTTCGAGCGTTAAAACATATCCTTAAAAATAAATTAGCGAATATCTATTAAAAGGTCCGTCGAAAGTCCTTCGAAGCCGTCTCGAGCTTTAATAAGTCTTAAGTCGGCTAGCAAGCTATCATCGAACTCATTCTCATCCTCTTCGCTTGAATCATCGAGGTGCCGTAGCCGTCTCGATAATGCATCGGCAGCGGTATAATCCTTACCGAAGACATGTCGAACCTTAAAGTCGAAAAGATTGATTTAAGCTAACCAGCGTATAACTAAAGCCGAAAGTATATCGATAGCTTTTCGTCGAAGCTAAGCAACGAACACTTTAGCGTCAGTCTCGAAGATAAAGTGCACTTCGATAATCTATAGCTTGAGTTTCTTAAAGACCTTAAGTACTCCGCGGCACTCTCGTTTAATAGCGTCGTAGTTCCGTTCTGCTTCCGTCTAAGCCTCGAACTCGTACTAAGCCGGTTGCACTTTATTAAAAGTAGTCTCGCGTTAGCTGATATATCTTCTTTATCCTTTTAAGCTAGCGTTCGTTCTTATTACTATTTCCTTGTTTTAGTCCTCGTAGTCGATCTTAATCAAAACCGAAGCCGTCGTTAAAGCATCTTATAGCATTCGCATAGCCTTCGAATGCGCTTCGGTCCACTGCTAATCTACATCTTTTTTTGTAAGGTTGTAAAAAGGGTCAGTAATGTATACGAATCCTTTGACCTAAATGCGAAAGTAAAAGCAAAAGCTTAAAAATCCTTTAACCTTAGTAACGTTTTCGAAGGTTTTTTAATTATTGATCTTAATAACTTTATCCGCAACGAGTTCTCGACCTTTCGAATTGCATACGAATCCTACCACATTCATCTCATCTCGGCAGAACTATGACTTTTCTTTAATTATAGCACTAGCGCGCTCAATCCGTTTTAAAGTTTTATCGATATTCTAGATGTGTTCGAGCACGAATCGGCGTATACTCGAAAGTGCTTCTTCGTCGGAATAGTCCGTTTATAGTCTTTTCACCTTAATATCGTCGACAAATAGCATAAAGACTTTAAGTTGCAAAGGCTTTAAAATAAGATTGATTATTCGAACGAATTAGGCTATCGAGTTTATAGCACTTTGCGGAAGGGTAATGCATCGGAAAAGACCTAGCGGTGTAAAGAAGGCGGTAAGGTCTTTACTCGATTAATAAAGTGTTTGCTGATTATAGCCCGAATAAAAGTCGACTAAGCTAGCTATCTAGCAACTAAAAAACTCTTTAGCAAACTCATCTATAGTTAAGGGTAGATTAGCGTCCCTCCGTATAACTGCATTGAATAGAATTGCTGAATTAATGAGTCGGTACTAGCCCGGCTGCTTTTTAGCTACTAAGAACTACTGATTCCGGTATAGTCCTTCGTAATACTTTAAAACTCTTTTATCTAGCCTGTCTTAAAGCATTTTGATAATAATAAGCTGTAAAGCCTTCGGACACGAGTAGTTAAGAGCTTGCTAAGCCGTATATAAAATAGTTTTAAGCTTAATCGATAGTGATACGTCGTCGTAGAACTTACTGCACTCTTGCTAAGCGAATGCGATTGATTTTTCTTTATTTAATATCATTTCTTTAAACAAATCTTTTTCTTTAAGCCGTAATGTATTACTGATATCTAAGTTCGTTATGCGTTCGGGTGTGATTCAAAAGCCTCTCGGTATATCGGCAATGCGCGGAAAAAAGTATTGCTTGTATTCTCTTACTTGCTCTTATAGCGTATCCTTGGCCTTCGATAGCTCGTACTAATCAACTTTGCTACTTAATGCTGCTCTTACGCCGTCTGCTTCGTTAACTAGCTTGATCTTTTTATCTTTAGTCTTATACATGCTGAACACTTTAGCCGAGTCCGAAAAGATCTCTTTTCGAGTCTAATAAAATGTCGAATTCTAATAGTCAATATAATCGTAACAGCGGGTCATAAGGTTATTAGTGCTAACGGCATCTATCTAGCAGGTTGTTAAGAGATCGTATAAATCGCATTCCGTAAAAGCAAGAACATCGATAAACTGCTTTTAAGTAATAAAGTCGTCCTTTCTTCGATACTGCAACGTTTCGTCCTCGAAACTAAGCGAAAAGCAAGAAGCTTTTAGTGTACCGACTTCGGCGCTTTTAACGAGGCCGGTCATTAGTTTTCCGAGTCGCTACCGCTGCTACTCGAAGACTCATCGTAGTAGATAAAGCTTATACTTTGTTCCTTTAAGCGATCGACGGCTTCGTCGTATTAATTCGTCTTATCGCTCACTTTAGCTTGAGTAACTTAGCTTATAAACGGATTAATAACTATAGTAATAACAAAGCCACCCTTATAGTCCGAAAGGTATCGAAGACCGATTCTTGCTTTGCGTATAAAAAAGTAACCGAGTATAAATCGAAACTTTAGCGAATCTATAACGTAGAATCGAGTACGGATCGTAGCACCTCCGATGTTAACAAACACATTATCGGCGTATCCGATAAAACGCGATAGTGAACCGATGATTATTCAAAGGCTTATCTCTTAATCGTAAGCTATAAAGACCTCGAATTTAACCGCGGCGTCGTAAGTAATAACGCTAACCTCCGCACTTGTATCGAGTATAGCTCGCGTATTAATGATAAAGGACTGTCCGAGAATACTAACGATGACTTTAAAAGTTGGCGAATAATAATAAAAGTATCTAAAGAATAGCTAGCCGAACGTCGAAGCAAAGCCGATTTCCGCCGAAAAAAGTTCCGTATCACTCTCGTCTGCGGTTCGCAAAGTACGCCGATCCTTACGAGTAAACCAGTCGAAAAAGAGATATTAGAACTAGAAAACACCGTAAAATATAGCTGTAAAGAAAGTCGGAATAAAGCCGATAATAAGAATAAAGCAAAACCGTCTCTAAATCGAAAGAGATTCGAACGCGAGAAGCGTATTGCGGCGGCGATGCTTCGTCTAGCTGCCACGGATATTCCTTTGCAATTAAGGCCTAGTTATCCAAGAGAATTCGAATAAGCGTCTAAGCTAAGACCGCTAAGCAGTAGCATTTCGATATAAGATCCGTCTTAGCCGAGCAAAGACTTATATAAGGTCTGCCTCTCCGGTGATTCGGCCGTAAGTCGAAATAGCAAAAGAAAGAAGAAAGAGTAAATTCTTACGATAAAGCGCTTCACCGATAAAGCGACTTGTTACTCTACAAAATAGATCGCTACCAAATAAAAAGATATTACTTTCTCTTTAAATAAGTCTTTAAAGCCTCGAAGCAAATCCGTCTCTTACCGGATCATCCGTCGCTTTCGGTATAAGCTTGTTACTTATAATCAGGCAATCCTCCGAAGCTTCCGCAACGCTAACCGTAGCTTAAAAGCAATTAATAGCGCTCTCGCTAATAAAGGTTTGCTGAATCATCTTATCGATCATACCTTCGAAAAAAGATCGTTTAAAAGTAAAAAGAGCAGCGAAGAACGCAATAGTCTTACTAAAAGTTAGGTTCTTTAGCAAATCGCGCCTTTTTAAGAGCTTAATACGAGTCGCTTCGTAGTTTATTCTTAAGGAAGAGATTACCTTGCCAAGCCTTTCGTATGAATTAGCAGTCTTAAAAGGCTTGGCCCTAAGCTTAAGTGCAGCTTTAAAAGCTTTTGGCAATGTGACGGACAGATTCCGTAGGTCCTTCGGTCGTAAAGCGTTTCGGTTAAGAATCGCGGTATAAGCGGGCTCGGGTTTATCTATTTCTATTAGCTCAGCGAAAGTAACCTTAAGCTAGCTATAAATAAATTAGACTTTTGCTTTTGCCGAAAGAGCGTCTCTTAGCGAGTATAGCGTAACTCGAAAGGCTGCGTTGCGCGCCCGAGTCTCTACCGGTGCAATAATAGCTTCCGTATTAAACACGCGAGCATATAAATCCGCTAATATAATGCATCGTTAACGAATCATATCCGAAGTATTAAAGTCGTTAATACGAAAAGCTTCCGCATTGCCGCCGTTAGCTGCTCGAATAAGCGCTTTAGCACGTTCCCGTGCAGCCTCTTTAATAGATTCTCGTTGTGCTTTTAAAGCTTTATAACGACGCTTAAGATTAAGATCATTTATTATTTTACGAACCCTTTCTAAAACTTGCTCGTACTTAAAAGTGTCGTTTCGAAACTGAAACGAGATCGATAGTATTTCTTTTCGATACGGTCTTACACACATTAAGTCCGCTTCGTTAAAATAAAAAGCTAATCCGTACTAAAGCATAAACAAGTAGCATTGATTCTGGTATTTATAAGGCTTTTATTGATAGCCAAGTAGATCAGAAGTCTACTAGCACCAACAGAAAATACAATTAGAATCGTTTAAAGACCGTTTCCTTCCCGATATAACGTAGCCTCGATTCGAATAAGTATCGGCCGCATTGATCTCGTAGACTCGGTGCAAAGCAATTTCTTAAGTCTCTCTATATTAAGCAGCTTCTAATAAGTTCATATAAGCCTCTTTCGATACGGGGGCGAAGCTATCGGTAAGTCTTAAGTGAATACTAACTTTCGCTAGCTGTTCCGTAAGAGCCTCGATCCTTAGGTCAAGATCGATAAACGGAGTAATCGAACTCGCAGCGGTAGTGCTTGCGCGATAAAAAGAAGAAAGATAAGTACTACCGAAGTAAGTGCTATAAAAGAGCGAAACGTATAAGTTCCGCTTGCTCTCGGGAATGACAGACGGTACTTAAAAACGAAAGTTCTCGTTCTAATAAAAGTCATAGCGAGAAAAAGCTTTAAAGATCTCGGCGTAGCCGTATTCTTTAATCCGTTCCGCAATAATCTATTCTTGCTTAATAAGGTCGCTAACTATAGTATACACTATATTATACGTTTGCAAGTGATCTTCCTTAAGTTTAACGTTCTTTTAGATCCGATTCTGCATCGATAATAATAAGCAACCGAAGAACTTCTACTTTAATTGCTTATCGATAATATCTTTATTAGCGAAGCAAGCAAAGCCCGTAAAGTTGAACTAGCGAGTGAACTATAAAAGCTCTGCCTTAAAAGCTCTTTCCTTTGCTATCCACTTATTGCTTAAGTCGTTTAAAAAGCCAATACTATCCTTCTACTTAACTAAGTCGAAAGCCTTGTACTCCTCTTTCACCACCGATTTAAAGTCGTCCCAAGTCACTTTCGGGTCCGAAAAGCCGCCGAAGCTCTCGATATTACAACGGATATTATAACTAAGAAAGCCAAAGATATTGTATTCAGCAAAGCATTGCTTCTTCTCCGAATCGATAACGATACTATAATCTTTAAACGCTCGTTCGAGCTAGCGAATATGGTCCGTAATATTAGCTTTATCGAAAGCAAGCATTCCAAGGGCTCTAAGTCCAAAAAGAAGTCTACGGATACTCACGTAGTTCGAGGCATTTACGAAAAGTAAAAAGGCCTGAATCCTCTTCACTTCGTCCTCGGTTAACTTGCGAGTAGCATCTTCGCTAAGTCCGAAGTCCTTTTAAGTCGAAGAAGTCATAGCTCTTTTTGATTTCTAAGAGTTCCAACGTAAAGCCGCTAAGTTAAGTAAATAAATATCGATTAAAATGTGAAAGTGTCTCGAAACGGATGCGAAAAAGAAACGAAAATGATGTGAATGATATAAATGTGAATGTAAATAAATAATAAAAATAAAATAAGTATAATTTATAATAAATGTTAAATATACAAAAAAATATTATAAAGATATAAGATCCCGATGCGTCGAAAGTGATTTATCAAAGAGTCGAGTGTCGATCGCTTCGAGCTAGATAATCGAAACCAAATCGATACAATAAATAATATTAATAATACGTTTAACTTTTAAACGTAAGATCCGAATAAGCGGAAGAGTAATTGCCGAGATTAAGTATATCGAAATAGAAACGAAGTCGATTACTAGCCGAGCTTCCGTGCAAGCATATAGCCTGCTTCTAGTATAATGCGACACCGAAACGGTTTCGAATTGCATAACACTTATTTCCGCTCGTCGTATCCTTCATTTGCCGAAGCGAAAGATATTCGAAAGCAAATCGAGATCCTTATGCGTAATCTCCGTTGCGAAGTAAGTGTTGAATTTTCAACCTCTCAAGCTTAGCGTAGTATTTCCGGTACTTAGCTATTGCCCACCCTCTTAAGGAAAAAAAAGCAGCAGACTCGTACTAAAATCGATATTAAATCGAAAAGGGTAAAGTATACTAAACGAATAGTATCTCGGGCGTATCGCCGTGCAAAGTGGCTTAAGTAAATAAAACTCTATGAATACCGAATTGAACTCTAGCTAGCTCGATCCTCGAACTAAAGTAACGACTTCTTAAGTAGTACCTATCGAGTATACCGAATAGCATGCTTGACGGACACAAATCGAAAAAAGATCGCTTTTAAAGCAATAGCCTCGAAGCTTATATGCAAAAGCACTTGACTATTAGCTTAGCGTATGTCGAATACTCTTCGAAGGAATACCGCAAAAGCACATGGTCAATAGCCTAGCGTATAACGTAGACTCCGAATATATAGCTTTTCGTAAAAGAAGCAAGTCTGAAAGGGGTATAAAGACCAACCTTTGGTTCGATTCCTTGCGTAAGTCATCAAATATATATAAAAAGGAAAAGCTCCGACATATACCTAACGTTAAATCAAGAGATATATATAAATATAGCTATAATAGAATCGTAAGTAAATAAAAAAGGAAAAGGAAGACGATCGAAAGACACTCGAATGTGTGCTGTGAGTACGTGTATTGTATTGTGTGGTGATGTGATGGTGCTGGTTCAGGGAAGAACCAACTACTCGTCTATATAAGAGCCTGCACGTGACCTAACCACGTGCCTAGCAGGGCCAGAGCATGCAGCGCACCCACGTGACAAAGGTGCCTAGCATCAGTACTATATACATGGACAAAACAAATACAGAGCCCCAACTCCACCACAGTACGAGCTCTATTATAAGAGCTCTTCGCGAATTGAGTATTATACTTGGCTTGTAGAGCGTCGTAAAGCCTTGCAGACGCGTATTAGCTAGCAGCCAATTGTTAGACGGCAGTTTGAAAGTCCTTAAAGGTTGTAGTCTTAGCAAATTCCAAATAGAGCTGGTCGCGCAGCGTCTTAATAATCTTGAAACGCAAGGCTTTACGTAATCGGTCTTCGTCTTTGATTTTAACGGTAGCAGCAAGCTCCGAGAAAACAAGGTAGAAGTCTTAAAATTGCTAGTTAAGCTTTATATAAAGTTTTTCGAACTCAATTGACGCTTTAGCCTTTTTAACGAAATCGTTTAAAAACTCGAAAGCGATCTAAACGAGTTCCGAAGCGGTTACGGAGTTGCTACGATCTATAACTAAAAAGGCTAAGAATAAGTAAGCTGTTCTTTCGGTTTAGTTAAAGACGTAGTTCTTGCGTTAGCGTTTTATAAAGAAGTATTCTTCGAAAGCTTTTAAGTTATCGAAAACGCGAGCTTGCTAATAGCGTGCTCGATAGCTTACACCGTTTAAAAGCTTTTGTTTAAGGTTAAAGATCCGCTCGATACGAGCGCGACCTTAAGAAGTTAAAGAGAAAGCTTTAAAAGTGTTGAACTTAGCTAAAGTGCGAAAGTTAGTTGACTTGTGAAAAGAAAGTGGTTCATCGTCGTCGGCGAAAAGGCGGCGAAGGTTAGCGGTTCTATAAGTAGAGAGAGTGGTCTAAGAGACCGAGGGCTTGTATAGCTCCTTGCTTTTAAAATTATTTTCGAAAGAGACTTAAAAAGGCTTTAACAAGCGTTCCGTAGTTAGCAAGATCGCTTGAAGCTGGTCTAGTTCTTTTCGAGCTCGACGGGCTTTTTTTTCAGCTTTTTCGGCGAGAGTTTTTTGCTCGCTAGCGTTCTTATCGAGCTCTTCGTTGCGGGTTTTCATATCTGCGAAAAGCTTTTTAAGCTTAGCAGCTTTTCGTTAAAACTAGAAGAGAGCTTAGTATTAGGCCAAGGCTTCTTCGAAGTTAATAAAGGCCGAGGGATCATCTTTATCGTCTTGCTTATTAGTAGCTTCTTTTTAAGTAGAAAGAACTACTAGTTGGGCTATAAAGGAGGAGGAAGGAGCTGCTGGAGCAGCTTTAAGAGGTGTGCGAAGGATTTTGCCCGCGAGGCGAAGGTTGCTATATTATATAAGTGCTATCTTTTAAGTTATACTTAGAATAAGCCTTTTCGTGACCGTTAGTATCGTCTGAATGTTTTTTAACGTCTAACTACTAAAGAATTCTAAAGAAGAAAAATATTATTAAAACCGTTCTCGGCGGAGTGAGGTAGTTGTTGATAATATAACGACTTTAAGCGATTACTTAAAAGAACTTACGAAAGCGCGAAAGTTTACATAAGAGCTTGTTGCACAGTGTGGTCCTTGCCTCACGTGCTCCTCACGTGGCCTAGCACGTGCTCCCTTGCACGTGCCTGCCAAGCTCTTTAGAGGCCATGTACCACATGTACATATCTACAATTGCTCTCGTGCTCCCTTGAATATACCAGACACTTCTATCGCTATCTCTTAGACCTTGATCTGCTCCACCTACCTAAGTATACGCCCTCTGTCACTATAGTTAAGAGCCACACGCCTTTACGAGCTCCTTTTAATTATTATCAATACGGTACAGACTGCCTCGGTGGTTGCAAGATTATCGTTTTCTTTCTTTTCGGTCGGTAGAAGTTGTTCTCCCTTCTGACGCTCGGAGCGTCTAATAAGAGCTTTTCAAACCTTATTTTTTACTTTATTTTACACTCTACTTCGAGCTATTCTACGACATGTCACTTCAAAGCGCCCAACACCTTACGGACCGAGCGTTATAAGTCGATTGGTTTATCGATTACAAAGCCGTTGCGATAATGAAAAGCGTTTAGAAGCTTGCAGACCTTTATTCGAAAGAAACCCAGCTTCACATCCTTTCCTTAGAACCGCTAGCACCACCTACGATTGACGACCTGATCGTCAAAGAGAACGAGCGGAGGGATAATCTTATAAAGGAATGGGAGGAGGCGCCTTTGGCTATTCGTAAAGACCGCCCAATGCTAAGGGGTGCGAGTTTCCAAGACGTTAAAGAAGAGTTTGCATATCGGTCGAAAGAATACTCTAGGAAGGAGGCGCGCTAGAGCGCCTTGAACTCTAAATACCAGTACATGCTGGAGTAGGTGAATCAGACGGTCCTAAAGGAGCTGCTGCAGCCCTATAAGACTCGTCTGATTAAAGAAGAGGAGTTTTTACTCTAAACGCTGGTGAGGTCTTTACGGGACTAGTACGCGAAGGACGACGAATCGACGAAGGAGCATGTGCGAGACGAGTACCGTCGAATACTCAACGAAGGAGCTGCGGGGACTATTGAACTTCAGCAATAGATTCGAAATTAAGAGCTCGTGCACTCCAAGGCTGTCGCTTTAGAGCCCGAATTGCAAGATGTTGTCGGTTCTCTTGCTATAAAGGATTTCTTAAGAATAATTGCTCAAAGGTTGGACTTTGCTTAAGGCAGTCGACACTTAAGTTTTGTGGTCGACGCTATCAGTATAAGGGAAGCTTCTAAGTTGAAGAGCTTGAAAGACTACGCAAAGATGTTTGAAAGGCATTTACAGCAAAGAAGAGCTCGTGAGGGTGTGTTCGCCACACTCAACGAGCTCCCAAAAGGAAAGGTTTGCTTTTGTATGCGTACTCACTCTTGGCAGCCTTTTTCTTGCGACCTATTGAGGCTTGCTTCTACTGGTCAAAACCCTAGGAATCTCACAGTGTCGGAGCCAAAGCTTCAAGCTATTAAAGAGCGATTCTCTATGCCTAGCTACGAAAAGCTGAAGGCGAGCTTGGAGCTCTTATGGAAGGAGAATAGAGCTTCTACTAGCGAGGGCAAGTCCAAATACCCTGGAAGTGTAGCTGCCTAGGAAAGGCCACTTAAGAGCAGGTCTATAAAGGATGTTGGAACCGCTCGCGCACGCCGGAAGAGTGAATTGGGCCGTAGCCTTAGCGCTGCTAAAGGCTTATTGAAGCTTGGAAACCGTGTGGAGCTTGCGAGGGGGAAGTGTAGTGTAAGGAATTAAGACGCCTGCCTCAACTACAAGTTATTTGTATATTTGAGTCGCTCCTGGGGGGTGGAGGTTTAAGTTGGCGAGTCTTTGCGACGGCAAGCGGACCCACCTTGCACCTTGCCTTAAGGACTATTAGCTGCTGCCACTTTAGAGGATGCTCGTTGCAGCTTACTAGCGCTGGCGTGCTCTTATTTCGTCTGCCCTTTGTCTAGGAGCTTATAAGCTCCGTTCATCTTTTAGCTAGATTTTCCTTAGGTTTTTTCGTTTGTTTTTTCCCTCTTTCTTTAGGCGAGCCTTTTGTCAGTTGAGCAGTCGCTTCGCAACTAGGGGGTGTGTTGCACAGTGTGGTCCTTGCCTCACGTGCTCCTTACGTGGCTTAGCACGTGCTCCCTTGCACGTGCTTGCCAAGCTCCTTAAAGGCCACGTACCACATGTACATATCTACAGTTGCTCTCGTGCTCCCTTGAATATACCAGACACTTCTATCGCCATCTCTTAGACCTTGATCTGCTCCACCTACCTAGGTATACGCCCTCTGTCACCATAGAGCTTAAAAGAATCTTAAAGTAATAACTTAAAATCAACAACTACCGAGTGTAAAAGTCGAAAGTAGCTGAGGTTTATATACACGAAAGTAGAAGCGCTAAGGACTCGTGAACCATGGTTCATAAGTCAAAAAGCGGGGAATAAGAGAATACGAAGAATACGAAGGAAAAAAAGAAGGAAGTAGCTTGGCGCATGTAAGGTGGGTCCAAGAGACCTGGCGTGTCGTCACAGATAAAGCAATAATAAGTTGCCGTTTCGAAGATTAGCTAATTGCTCCGCTTTCGACGTTAAAAATAAAGCTTTTTATAGATTTGCGTATTAATTAATAATTATTTTAATCCGCGTCGAAGAAACCGATTAAGTCGCTTAAGTCTTTTCGATAAACGAGTTCGTAGCGAATAGTTTTTTTTAAATAACGAACGATACGTTTCGCTGCTTTTATATATTTTATAATTAAATTTAAAATAAAACGATTAATTATAAAAATTAAAAAAGCAATATCGAGCTTAAAACTTAACATAGCGTATATAAGCGAACCGATAAGTCGCTAGTATTCGTAACGAAGCTTAAAAAGAGCTTAATACTTTAATAAAAGTAAAACTAAGATTTTAAAAAAAACTTTTATCGGTATATTATAAGTATTATAATCTTTTATTTCGAAGTCTTAAATGATCTTCTCGATATAAGCTTGTTATTCGAAATTAAGCGTTCGATTAGCGCGATCTCGAGTGATTATTATGCTTAAATAATAAGCTATTAATTCGAGATTAATTATTTAAAAACGTTTAAATAAAGCAGCTTTAAGTTTATTAACTTTAACGCAATTACGGCCGGAAATAAGTAAATTATCGACGTAAATAACGATAATAACTTTTTTTTTATAAAAAACGCTTGCGTTAATACCGAAAAGTTTAAATCTTATTTCAATAAAAAATTCGAATAAAGTATTATATTAAACGCGAAAACCTTATTTAAGTTCGTAAAGTGCGCGGTTTAATTTGCAAACCTTTTTAATCTCGTTTTCGAGCCCGGTAAGCTATTTTACGTAAACGGATTCGGCAACTTTTTTATATAAAAACGCAATCTTAACGTTTATTTAATCGATCTTTTAATTTAAAGCAACAGCGATAGCGAAAATCATTTTATAACTTATAAGCTTAACGACCGTAATAAAGATCTCGATATAATTAATGCTTTCTTTTTATTAATCTTTTTTAACGATTTAGCGTGCTTTTTAACGGATTATAAAGCCGTTAAGTCTTCGCTTATATTTATATACTTATCGATCGAAAAAGACGCGCTAAATCGTAAGTAAATCGATAAGGTCTTAAGTATTATTTTCGTAAAGTGATTTTTATTTTTCGGCTATAGCTTTTAGCTAAGCCGTTCGATTATTATCGGTTATAGCTTGTTTATAAATTTTCGGTTCGAAAAGTTTAAAAGAGTTAGCTTTAAAAAAAGTGATTTTTATTATAAGATCGAGTAAAGCTTAAATATAAAAGCTGTCTTTATCTTCGGCGTGCTTAACTTTAAGTTTTTTCTTTAGTTTTAAAGTTTGCTTTATTAAAAGTATTATAAAAGCGATTAAATCAAATGAATTAAGGTTTTAATAAAGCTTAAAATAAAGTTTAAAAAAAGTTAACGAAAAAGAAAGAGTTCGAAGAATAAAATCGAACGTATTCTCGAAGGACGAAGAAAAAAAGAAAAGAGTCGAAAGATAATAAAAGCGATTAAAAGTATCGAAGATATAAAAGTTCTTTTAAAAAAGTAAAAGTCGAAGATTTTAAGCGATAAGCTTTCGAGTCGAATAGTCTTCGTTCTTAGCGATAAGCGAAAGACGTAAGCATTTTAGCTTTGTATTAAGCGAACTTTTAGTTTTGCGCTTTAAAAGCGTTAAAAAGTAAAAATTAAAAAAATAAGAAACGGAGTTAAAGTGCGGAAAAATAAATAATCTTTTTATAAAATCTATTTATTCGATAGCGGCAAAAGCTAAAAGCTATTTAATTATATGCGCGTTATATGCTTTTTTAATAAAACCGTCGGTCGTTAAAATACGATAAATATAATCACTTTCGTATTTAATTAGCTTTTTATAAAAGACTCGTTTAATATACGGTTTTATCTTTTTAATTTTGCTTTCGAAAAACTAAGCTTTAAAGCCGATAATACGTAAGTGCGAAACGAACGTGTTGGATTGCTTCCAAGCGATTGGGAATATATATTCGTAAGGTCGTAACGGTCGTTAAAGTACTTGCAATTGCAAAACACTCGGTTGATAAGGTATTTGAATTCTGTCTGCTCCTTAAAGCTCAAAGGAGCTGATTCCTTCTATACGATTAAAAAGAATCACGTGCACTAGCTAGCTAATAGATTTACTTGTTAAGTTAAGGGTCCTTTGACTGCTAATATGCTAAGCGAAGCATGTCAAGTGGCCCGTAAACCATGGTTCACGAGTAAGCTTCTTTAACTACTATTATTATTACTATTACTAGCTAAGGTCGATATAGATATACCGACACCGGCAACTCTTTCTTTAGCAAATAGTGCTTTGCTAACTATTATATCGACCGAAAAAAGAAAGAAAGTAATTAAACAAAAGAAAAATAATCTCCTTCTTTTTTCTATAGCGGCCTTTCTACTTATCTATCGATTTGCACTTTTAAAGTATTAATTAAAACTAGCTCTTGCAAAAAGATATTAACTTTGATTTTGGTTATAGCGTCAGCAAGGTTAGATTTGCTTTCGATCTAGCGTACTTTAAAAAGCTTTCGCTTTTCGTATGACTTTCGAATAGCTATAATATCGATTATTAAACGCTTTTCTTTAATAGTCCTTAGTTTTATTATGCACTCGTAAAGCGAGTAAGAGTCAGTGCACACGATTACGAAGAAGTTAAAGATTCTTAGCTAAGCCGTGATTTAAGCAAAAGTAATCGATATAGCAATAGCTATATCGATACTTAAAGACATCGCGTATAGCTTAAAAGCTAATACTGCTTTTGTCACTGTAAACACCCTGCCTGATGGGGTACCTGCCATGGCCACTAGGGCCACACTAGACGGACCCATCTTCTATAAGAAGGCACACATCTCCTAGCTAAAACAATCAACGAGCTTTCCACCCACCTTTTCTAACACTTTTTTTGTAAGATTATGAAGTCTAGCTTTAAAGCTAGGCTTTTGTATAGTATATCTTTTTAAGTGCTTTTACATTAATAACCTACGCAAGGATTTAAACCTTTGGTCTTTGTTTTTATACAGCTTATTACAATCGCTTGATTCGCAGTCAAGTTGATCTTCGTTTATTATTTAACACTTTACTTTACAATTATAACATTAAAACAATTAAAACCTTATTCTCGATAAGTTCGGACACCGAAACGCCGAAATAGCTAAAGTGCAATATTTCGGCTCTTTAGCAAAAACTCTCTTTTATTATTAATAAAAAAGAATTTTCACTTATTAATAAAAATATCCTTCCGTACTTTAGCTTTTATCTTAAATTAAAGCAATTGATATAGTCCGGAGTTATTAGCGAAGCTAATCAATTGATTTTTAAGTTTTTCATAGTTCTAATCTTAACTATTAGTTTACCTTTACAAAAGGTCTACTCTTTTTAATCTCGAATCGAGAATACTTTACGAAAATCGCTTATTTTACTCGTGAACTCGGTTCACGAGTCAAAATCAAACAATTCAAAAACCTTTTATCAACCCGATCTTTCTTAACACATATATATGTCTGATCTTTAAAATACCGAAAACCTTTTTAAGATTTCTAATATCGAAGTCGGCGCAAAGTCACCTCTTTTTTCGTTAAAATCTTTTGAATTTATTAAATCTTTTAGTCGTATTCTTATAAGCTTCGGACTATCTTTATCTTACTTCGACCTTTAACTTAAACTCTTACCGCTATTTTTATCGGAAACACTTGCTTCGGAAATGCCTTTTAAAATAAACACCGGTCTTAAGATCTATACTATTCTTTTTCCTTTTGCTTTTCTTATCTTTTTACTAAGCCTTGCGCTAGTTATAATCGACCTTGCTATCTTTTACGCTTTCATAACTACTCGCATGCTATTGCTAAGTGCTCTAAGAGCTCTTTGCTTTAATAGTGCTAATATCATCGACTTTATCGAAAAATACGAAAAGACTTATAATGATTTTAATATCTTTAAAAACGATCGGTTTATTAAGCTCCTCCGTTATTACGATAACCTTCGCAAAGAAGTTATTAAGAGCTTGCCCGAATAAAAAGCTAAGAAAGATTAAGCTGCTTTCGTCAAGGCTTTAAAAGCCGAGTTTCGTAAGA